TCACATAAATCCATATAGGTAGGGTATTTATAAATGGGTTTTTATCTCTTGGGTAAACTTTAAGTACCCTTGGGTAAACTTTAAACACCTTGGGTAAATACCTAAAATCAGAGTATGTATAATGTTTATTCATTTTTAAAGCATCTAACTATCATTTGTCTTGTTTATAATTATGAGAATAATATATTTAATTTTACAAAATAAACTTAAAACATATCAGTTCTAGAAGAAATATTTCAAAAAACTGTAAATACTCATTAGAAGAACTACAATGTTGTTTTAAAAAAGTAAAACTAAAAAGTTTGTGATTTGTAATGTAATATCAACTTTATATTAAGTAATTTAAGTTCAAGATTGGGCATTTTTCAAGAAAACCATTTTTTCTAGGACAATAATGTGAACTGAATGAAAAGAAATGAGCTCAGAAAACAAGTTTAAAATTTATGAAAATTATTGACAGTAATTTTCAAAACAGACTGTATTCATTTTGTATATTAATTTTAAAAATTTAATATAAGTGATGAAATTAATTTCATATTTGAATAATAAAGAAGTTTGTTCATTTAGACCAAATTAGTTCTTTTATGTGATTTGTTTAAAGTATCTCGATATTTTGTTTTGAACGTTTTTCCAACATTGATTTTATTTTATTAAAAATAATTTTATTTTTCAAAATGAGTAATATTTTTGTTAAATTGCAAAGGTTATTTTTGGCAGAAGTATGGAATTATGTGATTTAATTTTTTATGTTAATGAATTATTTTTCAAATTATGAGTAAAACACTGCTTATCGTTTAGAATTCAAGACAATTAAACAAGAGGTAGTTATTGTTTAAAAATTGTCACATATGACTGAGTTAAATTTATTAAGATAGTACTGAGTTAAATTTGTTATTTCTCTTCTTTTGTTATATTTATTTCACCTACTAAGTATTAATCTGACTAAAGTTTATAGCTAATAAATTATGAAAAAAAAATTGCAATTAACAAACGATTAAATATATATTTAATTAGCAAAAATGCTTCTATGCTAATCAATGCTTCTATTTTATTCCTGAAAGAATTTTGAAATTTCACTTCTCTTACAAATTAGGTAAAGAGTGTCAAAAATAAATGTATGTTTCATATATATATATACAGAATAAAGAAATACAAGAAAACACGAAGAAAGTTAAGAAAAACAATAAGTTTCATTTATTGCGCATAAGCTGCAAGTAACAGAACTCATTAGATAAGTTCAAAATGAAGATAGAAAGAAGAAGTATAAAAACTCAACAAAATGAAGATAGAAAGAAGAAGTATAAAAACTCAAAAATTACAGCCAATTTTAATTGTTAACACATTGGGCATTATTGTTATTAAGAAGGATATTTTCACATCACAACTAATTATGGATCAAAAAAGGATTTACATATTGTTCTTATGCAAGAAAAGTTTTGTATGATGAACTATGTAAAATTACTAAAAAACCCAAATATATTTTTGCATTTCAAAAATATATTTCTAGCAAAAGTTTCTTGGTTTGAATTTTAGTTCTCATACCACGAATATTGAGAATTATGAATAGAAATATGAATTTTAGAAGTATTAAACAACAACTTCTCTCAAAAATAACTATGATTTCAATTATTTACATGGTCAATTGAAGGAATTTTTCTTCTTATTAAATGGTGAATTAACTATCATAAATGTAAGCAAAACTCAATTTTGCCTTAAATTTGAATATCTGTGATTTTGTAAAACCTCAAGTAAAATACTACCATTGCAGTTTCAATAAAATTCATAAATACCACGGTATTTATGAATTTTGGTTATTTACCAAAAGTTATAATAACCTGGATATTTAACATCTTTTTGGAAAGCTTTTTACGTGTGTCAAAAAAGTTGTCAAATAACTGAGGGATTGAGTGATCTGCCGCTATCATTTAAAAAAATTCATTCATAAATTCACTTTTCAAATCATGAAAGTTGAAAAAATTTTTTATACCTTTTCGGTTTTCAAAGACTAGACCCCCATCCTTATTTTACATTTATCTTTTTTTCTCTCTCCATAAAACGACAGCCATACTTTCCACAAAAGTAAAGTACATTTTTAAATAAGATGCACAGGGTGCGTAGCTCTTTTGAAAAGTGCTTACTTTAGTTTTTAAAAAGACCTTATAGGTGCTTTTTTTTCATTGGGTGTAGGTGTTTTTAAAAAGGGCTTCCGTTTCCTTTTTCCGGAATGAGATATTTTTTCTTTACCATGTTGTTTTTCGCCACGAATTATGCAAAAAGACATTGTTTGCATTGTTCTATTCAACATTTTCACAATTAATTCAACCCCAATCTGTTTCGGCATACCGTCGGTCCGTAGCTCCCATGTCAGGGTTCATTTTCCGCCCTCTGAAATCAAACCGAAAAATCTCTAGCATTTTCGCTGATTACGGGGACCAACTAAACATTATTAAATTTTTTTCCCTAATAGCGATAGAAAATTTAAATTTCTCTTGTTAATTTTATCGTTAGTTGCGTCGTCGTCTTCGTCACTGACAAGCTAATGGTCTTCTCGCTATTTATAGATCAGTGCCATAATCTTTGAACTTGACTTGGGATTATTCACTAATTCTGTATTTTCATGTGAGTCCCCAAAACAGTCAAAAATCCCAAAGCTTCATCACTTCAGAGTTTTTCCTCTCCCTTTTATTCATTAAATTTAAGAATCAATTGAAAATTTTAAGAGTAATATTTTGACCTGAGGGACCAGAGAATTTTCACCTGAGAGGATTGCATATAATTTGTATTGTACTTTGTTACTTTTTTTTTGATTAATACATTTTATTAATTATTGTATTATGACTTAAAATTTTCAGTACTCTGAAGTTGTTTTACAAGAACTCAATAACATATAGAGGCAAGATTTTAAAGTATGAAGAAAGAAGCTTATAATATTTTAAATGTAGCAAAAAATCTTATTGTTAATGATGTAAAAAAATCAGATTTGTCATCCTAAAGAACTTTAATTCATCTCTGAATTATTTTATTTACAAACAACTGAAATCAAACTATAATTATCTCAGATTTGTTAAATATTATGAATGTAGGGACCCTGACATAATTTACTTTTGTCAAAATGTTTAGCTTCAATACCCATTTTATATTTGCATTTCAAAATTATTTGAATTTTTTCAATCATTTAATTAAAAAAATACTGAACCAAGTAAGAAATAATAATAAACATTTTAGGGGTCATTCACTAATTTACATTTGTAATATGAATTTGTTATTTTTGATCTAAACTAAAGTGTGAGCTTATAAAATAAAGATCTGATAGAGATGCCAACAGATAAATTTTATACTAATGTTTCTTTTTTTTTTAACTACAAAATTAACGGTTAATAATTCATTTACTAATTATCTAATTTTTAATATCTTTATTCCATTATACTCCTAGTGCATTTTTCTACACACCTCCATAATAGTTTTTGTGCAGCAAAACAAAATATAATGTAAAGTTAAAGACCAAAAACGGCTATGAGAGTGAATATCAAATTTTAAAAGAAACGTGGCCAACTTACATTACACTGGCTCCTAAGTTAATATTTATTTATTTGTAGAAAAAATAACATTTTTCCTCTTTTTTTTTTATTTAAAGTTTCTGATATCTCTTTCTATTCTTTGGTAAACTCTTGTTTCCATTTCTTCTCTTGAAAGAAAAAGAGAAGTTCAACTGCTAAAAATGAAAAATTCAAGGAATGTAAGAAAATATTAGTAGCTAAATTCATAAGAAAGTTAAAGAAGAATACAAGTGCTCTCAACGAATATCAATCCATTGCAATGTCTTAACTTTTCGTCCCTTTATCGATTATGTGCCCCACATTTGGTAAGAGTGTTGACATTAAAGAGTGAAGCCTTCACAACGGCACAAATAGATCTAGGGCAAGGGTTGGCAACCTGTGACTTTTTTGATGTAAAGTTGCGGCTCTCCAATTCCATACCAGTTCCAGATATATGTCGTCCCAAGGTCCAAAAGAAGAACTGCTAGGATTGCTACCACTCCCATGGCAATCTCATGAAGAAGATATAGCAAATGCTGTGCAAAAATGCCTGGAAGACAATGGAATCGATAAAAATAAAATCGTTTCTATAGGAACTGAGGAAGCAAGAAGTATGACAGGAATACATGGAGGGGTAACAATCATCAATTTTTCAGAAAAAAATAAACCACAAAAATTCTACCGCTTCATTGCATAATTCATCAAGAAGCGCTTTGTGCCCAAACATTTTCGGCCGAAATAGTTGAGGTCACGAAGTTGGTATTTAAGACTATTAACAGCATCTTGTGCAAAACCTCTCGACCATCGCCAGTTGAAAGATTTCCTTGAAGAAATAGATAGCCAGTTTTCTGACCTACCTGCACTATAAAGTGCGATGGCTTTCCAGAGGTAAAGTATTGCAACGTTTTGCTTGGTGCTTGAGTGAAATAAAAACATTTATCAATGAAAAAAGCATTGAGAATCCCGAATTTGAAGAAGACAAATAGCTGCAAAAATTTACCACAAAGAAATTAAATGAACTAAATCCATAACTGCAAGGAAAGGGCAACCAAGCCTTACTTGAAGCAGTTTGTTTTAAAAAAAATTACTTCTTTTTGTTGAGAGAGGTAAATAAAAATCTTGAGTCGTGCTTGAAACTTAAAACAACAAGTTGTAAGCCAGTTTTAATTAAACTTTCAAAAGGTAAGCAAAGCCAATGCTCCCATTGATATATCTATATTTGTGTTTTTATATGAATAAATATTTATGCCGTATTTAAAGCCGTTTATTTTAAATCAAATACAATAGTATTAAACCAAAAATTTTCAGTGACTCTTTAAAAACTGAGAAATTTTGTAGATTGTAATTTTTGGCTCTTCCATTTCAATAGGTTGCCGACCCCTGATCTAGAATGACAGTGCATTTTATGACAGAGATAAAATGTCTTGTTATTTCTCGTGGGAAAAAAGATACAGACACACATTCTTAAAATTAATTTTTTGTTTTATTTAAAAATCAATTTCATATCAACAAACCTAATGAAAGGTTTCACCAACTGAGGCATCACATTCACTACAATAGACCTGAAGTTGAATTCAACAACATTTCATTAGAAACAACTCTTAGATGAACATAGGATAACATTTGATCCCATTTAATCCTCATATAATATCACAAGAAATATTTCTAATAACATCAAAGTGCTTTGATTTAAATAAGTCAAAAACATTTTAGGATTAAGCATGGGAGATATTTTGAACTATAAATACATATTCCTAAAACACTTTGAAAATTTTTTTTCTTCTATCTATTGTAAATCATTTAATACTGGTTATGGATTAAACATTTCTTATTTTATTTTTTTCTTCTTTGCTGAAACAATCTATGGAGGGGGGAATGAAACCTACGACACAAATGAGTGATGAGGATGTAGAACGTTCTATTTATTCAACATCGTCTGCATTCCTTTCTCTGATGATGGAATGCAATTCAGAAATTAAATCTGAATGAAAAAAGTTTTGTTGATTTCATAATAAATAAAAAAAATGTTCATCTTCTTATGGAAGTAAATTATTTGTAAAGGGATCAAGTATTCAGCCATTAAAGTTTATACACGAAATAAAATAGATTGAATTGAAAATGGAAGGAATTGAGTGCTTCAGTCTAAGATTTCTACAATGATAAATTTTGTAAATTGTTGATGCAATTAGAAAATTATAATCTAATTTGCATTTCATCTGCATGTGTCACAGAAAAGAAACTTGCCATATCTGAAATTCAGTTTTATTACCTAAAATATTATTTGGCAAACTTTTTTCTTTATTATCTCAAGCACTTTGCTTCCCTAACTTACGGGCACTAAGAAGATGAGGTTAAAGAGTAAAAAGTACCTCATACTTTCCTTTTAGAAAACATTCACTCATTCATGCTCATGATTTATTCAATGTACATAGTTGCAGTCACAATTATTGGCAGATTGTCTTGAAAACGATTCGAAACTTTCGCAATTTTCAAAATATTCTGTGATGGGGGGAGGGCATACCCGTCGAAGGAATGTGCAGTCTTATCACAGACGGCTTTAGCTGCAGAGTATGCTTCATTTTCATATTTCACTCGTAATGTGTATTTTTGTGAAAAATGTCCAACCCAAAGCTCTTTTTCTGAAGAAAAAAACTATTGCGGTAAAAGAGTAGTGTACAGTATCTGCAATTTGTTTCTTTGTCATAAGGTTGCAATTGCTAGGTGGTATTTTTTAGCATTGCAATTTACCACACTTGAATCTCCAGATTTTAATCACTTATATCGTACAGTACGCCTTAGCCAATATTTTGAATGTGCGAATTCGCAGCTTTGAGAAAAATTATTTGGAAAGGAAAAAGAAAGAAAAAAACGAGATTGCGGCCACAATAATTAAGCCATGATTAATCAATCCATCACGTCTCGTTTCTCAAAATGAATGATTCAATTTCGAGCCATTCATTCCAAATTCAATGAATGACTTTAAAGTCCAAGATGGTGGATCTCGTGTGTTTCTAATGGGAGGAGAAATATGTACACAGAATTATTTTCACGTTTAAAACTTCAGTCAAACTACACTTTCCTGGTCGTCACTCAAGACGTCTTGATTTTCATCCCTCACCACCTCCGGATTTTGTTGTTTTTCTTCTTCCCTTTTGGCAACACAAGGGATGAGAAAACTGATGATGGCGGCACCTATCAGCAAGATTCCGGCGATGAAGAAGGGTAAATCATAGCTGCCTGTCCAGTCATAAATTGAGCCTGAAAATTAAAAAAGCAAAATCATTAATGATTATGCAAATCCACGAATTTTATTCCTTGTATGCTTAATTTAAAATTGCTATAAATTGAAAAAATTTTATAAGTGTTTTGGAATTTTTTCATGCAATCAACATTTCAGCTTATTAGTAGTCTAAACATGACTATCAAAAATTAGAGAAGCATTATTAATTGAAATAGAACAATATTAATTGAAGTAAAACATAAAGGCAATACAGAACTTCTTCAGTGAACGCCTTGCTTGCATTCATGAAGATTTTCAGTGAATACTTGTTTAACAAACTATGAGTGTCCGTTAGCCTCAGTTGAAATCGGAGAGTAAATCAAAGACACGTAAATTCAGTACAGGACCTCTTTAGTGAACATCCTGCTTCATCTTGTAGTTTTTCGGTGAATTAACAAAAGTGTTTCTCATGTCTGGAAGTAGCCTCATTTAAAAGTTAATTAGTCTGAATATTGACATTTCTGAAAGAATTCTGCCACATTTCGTCCATTAGGAGGAAATAATCTAATTAATAGGGTTGAGTTAAAAATATTTTATAAATTTATTTAATACACCATTGTTAGGGACTAAATCGCTCAAGAAATGTTTTCTGGTTTTCTTCTTTAAGAAAAAGAAGCTAATATTAAGATCTAAAAAATTATCTTTATCTATGGATGATTGACTGAATGAAAACAATAACAAGCTTCCTAAAACCGGAAAATATTAACTTCCGGTGTACCCTTCCGCTTATGTTATGTTTACGAGGCGATGTGTGAATAGGCTTGATATTCTAGGAAGTTTTATTATGGTGTTTAAATTTACTCCCTACTTTACCATTCATAAGAGTTTTCTGCAATTTATAAATTCTAAAAGGCTGTTAGCCGTAAATACTATGGAGAAAATTAATATCACAACATAAAAAAGGATAAGGTTTGCCATGCTTTGAGTGTTATCTCCTATTTGGCTGTATTGGTGTAAATTATCACCTTTTCTTACTTTTTGGGTAACATCATAGCATGCTTTCGAATTCGTTTGTTGCTTGTTCGGTTTAAAGTTAAATTGTAAGAACGCATTATATTGTAAGCACTGCAAGTATAATAATACTGGGTGGCTCGCTTCTTTAAGCTTAGGCGTAAAAATAAATCGGAAGTAATAGCCTGGGAGTCTTACGGTGAATTTTAACCCCTAGAGCCATCTGTGCTTAGCTTTATACGGTGAAACATCCTTACAGAATTATTGAGGCAAATATTAAGGGAATGTAGAGAACATCACAAGGATTTAGACTTGTATAGCAACCCATGGTCCGAAACTCTTTCGGTCGCCACTAGGTGGTGCTGTTCACAAGAGTGTTGAGCATAATAGACCGGTTCCCTGGCCGCCTCGCTCTCCTGATTTAAGCAGTATGGATTTCTTTCATTAGGGTGCACTTAAAGGTGTTGTGTAAGCATTGCCTGTGGATTCCGAAATGGATCTGGTTGCAATAATCGCCTGTGCTGTTGCGAATGTCCAACAAAATCCAAGTGTATTTCAGAGAGTCCGCCAATCTATGGCCCGACGGTGTAACGCATGCATTGCTTAGCAATGGTGGAATCTAGAACATCTTTTGTGATATTTTCACATATCATATACCACAGCACATGTTAATAGTATCTTTGACCAATAAATATTTCAAATTATCTGTCTTGTGTCTCTTTGTTTTTTGTAGCTTTCCCATAATGTATACGACCATGGGTTGCTATGGAATTCTGAATCTTTGTGATGTTTTCTACCTCTATTTAAAGTTTTTCCAATGAGTTTGTCCAATGTTGCCCCATTGAATGGTATACAATGACAAACGCGCTTTAGGCGTATTATGGTTGGACAGATGCAAATCATGAGAAAAGAAACATTTTTTTCTTCACTTTCATCTTTTTAAAAAAATATTACTGAGTTGATATCCAATGAAAACGTACATTTTCTTTATTCAGTAAAGCAATCTTTTTCATGAAACACAAATTTTATTTTGATATGCTTAGTTTGGTATCATTAATCAGCAATTAGTCAATCAGGAAAAAAATAACGAAGTGAATGTTGGGTAAAGGCCTTTTTTCATTACTAGATATTTTGTTCAATAATATTTTTTTAACAATCTGACATTGTTAGCAACAACCAAATAAGCCAGTTAAAATAAAATTTGTATTCGTAAAAATTTTTATTTCAAAAATTATTTTTCTTAGATCATCGACTCAGTAATCTATAAATATTAAAAAATAAATAATTCATTGTCCCGTGGTTCTCATATTTCATACTTTGCGGGAAAACGCCAATACTTTGCCTATTCAAATAAATTATGATTTTAAAAAATACAAATGAATGTGAGTTATTAAGGAACACCGTATAATTCATACCTGCTACAGGTGCCCCCAACATGACTGACGCACCACGAAAAAGACTGAGCAGCCCAAAAGCATTCGTCAGCTTGTCTAATCCCAGCAGTTCAACTAATATGATAGACGTCAGGCAAATGTAAGCAGCTGAAAAAAAAAAAGTATTCATTAGTTTACAACTCTTCAATTGTATCATAAAATATTACTAATAAATATTGACAGAGTGGGCCCTCTTGAATTGTATGGCCTTACGCAGAAGAATAAGGAATACAAAAATAAGTTTTACAGTGGGCTCTTTTGTTGTAATAGTGTGGTTTTTCCCATTTTGACAGTGGCATAAATGACTAAAACTGACAAAAAATAATACCTCAAGTTTAAATCTATCGTACACGTTAACAGTTTGTTATATAACGTTAATAAAATTTTAGATTATTTAATATACAATATTTAACGTGTGAATCAGTTTGGTTTAGGTTTCTTTTAAGGACATTAATGTATTCCTTAGGAATCAGAGTAATATAGTAATATATTCTCTAGGGCTTTCTTGAACCTAGTGATTGGAGTAGTGTTCTGTGTTAAATTGATTTCAACATACGCCTTACTCTTCTTGCTATTACTACTATTTATTATTAAACAGATCTCAAAATTTTATTTCCTTGTCAGGTATGTTTACCTACAAAATACATATGCCTGAATGAAGCTTTTTCATGTCCAAATATTTTTTTTCCAAATACTTATAAATGAAAACACAAATATACATATTCTTTACTTGTAGAAGAAAAAATTGTATTTAAACTTTATAGCTACATCGGCACTTTTATTTTAAGTATAAATCATAGTCGACATGTTTCAAGAGTTCAAAAATAGGCGCCCACTTTCTATTCGCGAATGAGAAGAAGCTAAAGCTTTTTAGAAATCTTTATGATTTAGATACATTTCGGGGGCTTTAAAATTTTGTGTTGCTTTCATTTTCCAATCTCATAGAATAATTTAATACACTTTCTTTCTTTTAATACGGAAATTAATTATTTAAATGGATGATATTTTATCAAACAATGAACTAAATTCTAAGGAAAAAATCGGTGATTAAAAATTCTATTTAGAAAAAAATTTACCTTCTCCTGATAAGAGGAACAAAAGAAAATTTTTTGAAAATTGAATTCATTAAGTCTCTCAGGAAAGCCGAATCTTAGTTTTTTACACGAGATAAAATTGCCTCATTTGTTCAAACTATTAAGAATGTATCTTTAAATGTTTACATCCGTTAGTTAGATTAAAAGTTATTAGGTGCAGTTAGTTATTAGACTTAATTTTACCAAATGCGCAAACACAAAAAAAGACACATTAAAAAAATTCTATTGTTAATGATCTTACTACTTTGCCACCGTTTGCAAATACTTAGAAATCATTCATTTTTTATTAAAATTTTTACGATCAATTTAATATGCTCTTTTGCTGTATATTTATATCAATGACTGAACATAACTTGTCGATTTTCATCATTTTTGTTTTTCCATCTATGCCAATTGTCCTGCTGAGGACATTGTACCAATGGGACATCGAAACGTGCTTAGATTTTTTAATAAATTTTATTATTGGGGATTTTATACATAGACTTTTTTTATTCAATTTCGATTTTATTTAAAATATTTTCATTATTTTACGAAAAAAGCGTATACACTGTAAAAAATAGATATTCAAATTTCACGAAACTTTCTTCATTTTTGACAAAACTGTTTCATGGTACATGTTCCAAGCGAACATTTCGTCAAAGTGACAAAATAGCACTCGTCATTTCTCCAAGGAAACGAATTTTGTAAAAAAAAGAAACATTTCGTCATTCTAGTTTCCATCGTCTAGTCTTCATTCTAGTTTCGTCATTCAATTACCCACAATGCAAGGCGATGAGGTTCAGAGTTGAGGAAACGTTTTCGTCAAGCATTTGAGAGCTCGCGTTTCGTCAAAAATCACGTGATTATGAGACGAAATGATTCTCAAAATCAACGAAATACAGCTCAAGGATTGCTGAATCGTCATAAGTGAGGGTATATAGTGACGTTTTCTCTATAAAATAAACAATTTTGGCAGTTTTTTAATTTTTTTTATTTAGAGGTCTTTGTCAAATAAATAAATTTTAAAAAAAATTAATCAGCTACAATTTTCCAAAATAGTAATTGTGCTGCTCATTTAATTTTTACCGAATACGAAAACAAGATGGTGACTACTTCTTAAGCGTTCGCAGCTTATGTAACTTGACAACATTGCATAATATTACATCTGCTTCAATCAAAACATACTTTGGATTTCAATTTGGGAAGATATTCAGGTCGCCCGACGCTATATTAAGTATTCTGATCACGCTTTTGCCTAATTTTCTATATTAACCTTGAATGTTAATTGAATGGACGAAAATATTTACAAAATGAAGGCACTCTTTCCTTCTGGCAACAATTTATCACATTTGAGGAATAATATTCTGCACTTTGCTGTTATGAGCCAGTTTTATAGACGACCTTAAATGTGCATACATAATGAAATCACGTCGAAAAGGCGTGTGAAAGTTTAATGCAAATGACAAGATAAGTCAAAAATACAAAATATTCGAATCAAAACAACGTTAGTTTAATAGTTAGTTAATTAGTTAGTTATTTAATTAATTAATTGTAATAGTTAGTCAAAATAGTTAGTTAAAACCCTTTTTTTTCAAGTGAACTTTAACTATTTTTGCATAAACCTGATTTCTAAACTTTTAAATTCAAGTAAAATATAAACAGATGAATGTCTGCTAAATTTATTTTAAATTACAACTATTAATAACTAAAAATCGAAGTTAAAAATTATTGTTATTACGTACAATATATAATGTAAAAAAGCGAAGCTGATATAAAAAATAATTAATGAAATAAAATAAATTGATACAAAATAAAATTGAAGTTAAAGATTTCCTATCATCTTCCCTGGAATTAAATCCATAGAAGAATTTAGTAAAAACATATGTAAGCAGCCGTCAATACAATACACGAAATAGATTTAGAAATCATAAAAGGACTTTCTAATAGTATGCCAAATAGATTATTTGATACTTTCCGATTAGTCAAGCACAAGCAAATTCACCTATTTTTTTATTTCATTTATTTTTCTCATTTTATTTCATTTTTACGTGTTTAAAAAATGAATAAAAGGAAAAATATTTTTAAAAAAAGTTGGTAGAGATCTACATCTTTTGGCGACTTTTCTCCTGCGCCTGGCTAACCGAAAAATACCGATTATTTCATGTTATTAATCGAAATCATGTGATTATCAAATAATATGTCTTTTTGGTGAATACTGAGAAATTAAAGTTGTCTGTTATGGAAAGTATGTATAGTTTTGTTTTAGTTCTTCACATCATGACTTATCCAATTTACATTTCAATAGTTTTATTTTAAAATCTCTTTAGATACATTTTTAATTCAATTAATAATTTTAACGACCAAAAAAATTTAATTTCAAAGAAATTGTTTGTACATGTATAATAAGGCAAAATTAATTACAGAAGCTGTAAAATAAAGTTAAAATAGTGAAACTTATTCCCGAGTTATCAAAAGGAGAGGGCTGACTTTGGATATCAAAAGATTTCTTCAAGTTCAAGTTATTTTCCTAGTACTGTTTATTTTAATTTATTATCCATAATATTTAAAAGAATAATGTAAATATGTAATACAATTTCATCGTTATAATTGCAGTTATTTCAGACATATTTTGTAATAAATAAATTTAACTTATGTAAATTTTATAATAAGTTTCATGTTGCGTAATTGGTTCAAAATCTCAAACTCTACGTTTTATTAGTTTAAAACGTTAAATGCAATATACTTAAAATTCATAAACATTCATGGCAGGGTCAGGAAAATTCTTCGTTTTAGAAACGAACCCTGTAATGTTTACCTTATTTTAGAAATGCTTCAAAAGAACTGCTTTATGTTAATAACATCAGTAGTTTAATTTTTGAAAAAAGTGGCTACCATTATAAATGCTACTACTGGCCACTGACCAGCAGCAAAATTTCCTAACTTTGGCCCATACATAATATGTAAAATTTTGAGGTCATATTGTATGGTTTTCTTTCATATGATATCGCCCACTTAATTTAAGTCGCAATATTTTAGCATCGATTAAAAAAAAAAAATTTTTTTTAGAAACTATTGAATGATGTTAACCTACTCAGACTTATAATATCGTTGTTTATGAGCCAGAGACAAAAATGCTAACTTTCACTTTATTGGTCAGCTTTTTGCTTCTATTATTTACATTTTGTAAAATATTTTTTTTGCTATGTGCATCAGATGAATTTGAATTCTCAAATAGGTACGAAAAAGACATCCCAAATTTTTAAAAAATGCATTTTGTGAAACTATGGATGAAGGAATAATTTTCATACTTATTTAGTTTTCATAAATAAACTCAATAATGTTATTTAATCAATTTCGGGAAGAACCTGCGAAGCGCATGAAATCCTATTTCATTCACAATATTAAGGTACTTGATATTTCTAAATAAAATAGTTAAAATTATTTTATACAAGTGATACAGTGGTTTCAAACTAATAACTGGAGAAAAAAATGAAATAGTAGTTTTTATTAAAGCTCAGTATCCTCATGAGTTTTTAAAGACAAAGACCTGATTTGTCAGTCAGATATCAAATGAAAAATAAATTATAATTTAGATCAGGAAACATAATACAAAATTAATTATTCTAAACTACTCTTGGCAGATCAAATCTTTCTTCATTACTTATATACACCACAGTTTACATGTTTAATAAATCTTAAAAGTATTTGTGTTTAAATAAGCATAAAACTAAATGGGTATAATTTAAATGTGCGTATTAAATAGCAAATTATTATTCATACAGCTAATGGAAAGTTTCACGTCACTTCAATCTATTAACATTTATTTATTAGTCTATTTTGAACATCAAATGATACTTTACATGCATTATCCTCGCATTATTTCTCTGGATAAAACCTCCAATGTCAATGAAACCAGGCTTTAAAAAAATCATAGCATTAGGGATATACAAAATATATGAATTTCCATAAATAAAAATATATTAATCAGTGTTTCTTTTTTTTTTTGTATGAAAAATCAGGTGATTTAGATCAATGACTTTTTAGAAAGAAAATAGAGTGATTTAAATCATTCCAACTCTGTTAGATAGTCAAAAAAAATCATAATCGCTATTCTTTTCAACAGTTGAATATCCCTAGAAAAGTCAATCTTTAAGCAGGATGCAACAATTTAAAAAGTAATCAGGTATGAAATTACATTAATTTAAAGAAAAATACTCACAGACAAATAATCCAAAGAGGACGCAATCAATCACAATGGTTGTGTAGTCGTTGCAGAAAGGTATGCAGAACACACATATACCAGTCAGTACAATAGTAACATTATTCACTAGCAGGGAGGAGACCCCTGGCCTATCGGCTATCCAACCGAACAGCAACCTCCCTATGGTATTCGTTATTCCAATCATGGAGAGAACGAAGGCGGCCTTTTCGGCTGGGATTCCTTTCGTTATGCAACTGTCTGTAATGTAAACATATGGCACATAAAAACCTATCATTCCAATCACATTGGACATGCAGATCATTAGAAACACTTTGTTCTGCAGAAGTGAAATGTCAAGCATTTCATACAGAGTGTCCGTCATGGATTTGGGCAATTTAATAAAACTAGGGCAAAATTTTGGTCTTGGTTTGGCTTGCAGAACATTCGATCTGTTGTCTAAAACCGATTGAGAGATGGGGATGTCTCTTGGAATAGATATGACGCTGGCCACGTACGACCTAACATCCCCCTGAGACTGCTTGTATTCTGGCAGATTGCGGATGCTGCCGCTGTAAAAGACATCTTTCCTGTACATAGGCCTGCTGTAATCTCTTCTTTCCCTGCGCAGGGATGACCTCCTACTGCCGTCCAGCGGAACAGGAGTTTGGGATATTTGTTCTCGAACGTTCTGCTTCCAGACTTCATCCGCGTTGAAGTTGTTATTTTGCTGCTGTCCCGGACAAAGAAAACCACTGGAAGAGATCTTTAGTGGGGCGTTGTTTTTCTTCGTCTCGTTATTTACTGTCATGTTGCTAAGGCTTAATTTCATAGCACCTCTAAACTGGGGCAAAAGTCCTTTCCGCTTGGCCAGTTCGCGGATAAATGTTGGGGGTAAAGTACCATTGGCAATCTGTGGAGAGGAGGACCCATCTTGAAAGTCAGCCCCATTAGGGTTGCTATTGATTTGGTGGTGGGCCAAGCCCGCATTGGGAAGTGAGACCGTTGTTGCTACTTTCGGCAAAGACGGCCCAGCTAATGGAGCTTTCTCATCCTCTTTTTCAGTCTTCTCCTCTTCTTCCTTCTCATTTTCTTCCTTTTCGTTCATTTCATCCTCTTTGGACAGTTCCGGTGATTTGCGCACTTCTTGTATGGGAGAAAGCGTAAATACCGGAGTGTCCGCTGGAGACTTCCCGAACTGATCTAGATAGAGGGTGGAATGAACACCGGGTTCTAGATTGAGGATGAACTTCGGTCTCTTTTCGAATGTTCCATCTGAATGCTGAATAATCATGTACTGACTTTCGCAGAGGGAGTCCATCCGGTGTCTTTCCTTCTCTTCGGCGATTCTCTGGAGTAAGGGTTTTTGGTAAGGAGCCGGGTCGAGGGGTCTCATGAGACCTCCAAACACAGCACAATTCAGTGTTAAACCGGCAAGTATTAGTAGGGCCCCTTGCCATTCGTACATGTTAAGCAAGACTTGACATAATGGGGCGAAGACGAAAGCTCCAACACCAGATCCACAAACAGCTACGCCCGTGGCTAAGGCTCGTTTCGTAGAAAAATAGTGGCTTACGCTGACTACGGCCGGCAAAAACACCAGACCGAAACCTATACCTGAAAAAGAAAACAAAACATCAGCTTGATACCCTAATGCATCAGTTATTTAGAATGGTATATGCTACACCTCTCGTTTAACTTTTTTTAGACTCACTATTAAATACTTTAAACTTGCTCAAAATAGCAGATTTATTTAGCCACTGTAGATTCCAAGATGCATGAAAGGCATTTTTAAAAAGACCTGATCGTTTTTTTTTTTTTTTTTTTTTTTGCATTTTGACAAATTCTTATTTATTATAAAAAATATGTTAGAAGTTTGTAACTTCCCGGTTGTTTGGCAAACAGTAATTTCGGATCAAATAAAACACATTAAGGGACAAAAAACTAATCATTTAGGTGAGACAAAAGTGTTTATAAATTTTGACCAATCGTTATTAAGGATTTTAGAGTGTGTTACAACAATACACTTTAACTCGAGTTGTGATAAAATGAAAAGGATACTGTTGCGAGCCAAAGATTTTCTTTGATCTTCTTTACTTTGATCAAAGGAAGCTTTTAACATCTGTATGAAAATATTTCTCTACAATAGTTGCTCTACACCTCTTAAATGTCCATACATATAACTCCACCGATTGCTTACATAATCGTTTTGCTGACACAGAGCTACACTGACATCACTTAACTATTAAGATTTGAAAAGAAAATCTGTGATTAAAAGTTGCGGGTAGACAATAGAGTAACAGTTAAGTAGATCAAAATATTTATGAAAATAAACCACAAACATGTAAATGGAATTAACATTAATAGGTCCATTACGCATTTGCTGCTTACTCCCATATTTTAAGGGTGAAAATGGTATTTATATTCAGAGATAGTTCATTTCTGCGTCTGAAACTTCATAACTGAAATATCGTCTGCCCTAATTAATTAGTATGTTTAAGTTTGGGTACTCAAACCATATAGACCGAATCCTAATGCGTGAAAATTCACTCCTTAGATGAAAAATTATTCGTGATTTTCTTTAAGCGCAATAAACGTTACATTGTTAAAGACATTATATTGTAAAAAATTGCATTGTTTGTAAATTTTGTATTGTTGTTTGTCATTTTTGGCAAGAACATAGACGTTAAACAAAAATCAACAAAATCAGGAAAGGAAGAACTCACCTCCCATCACTCCATAGGTGACCATCAGTACGTCTATGGTGGGTGCCATAGTACTGAGTATCATAGCAGTACAGGAGACCAGGCTGCCTGCTATCATCACAAGCCGACTACCGAATCTGTTCGTCAATGCACTCACAATGGGACCTGCAAAAGGAGAACTAACTTAATACAACACATCTCGACTAAATGTTATAAAACTGAAAGTCATAATCAGTTTTAGAACTGTTTACAGAATTTTGACTTCAAGCTGACTTACGATTGAAATAACAGCATGAAAATAGTAGTTGGAAATTTGAATTACTTTCAAATTGACGGAGAGATTTTTACAAGAAAACATTTTATTTACAAGTGTCCGTCATTGAGAATTTGATAAGTGATCTACTATTGCATGTTGTTAGAACCTTTGGAATCAATTTAAGTTCTATAACTTCGTAATTCCTCGCTCTTTTATATCCTCTTGATGCTCTGGATTATTGTTTCATTCATAAGGATGCCGTTTCTCTGGTTAACGATATAAGTTTCTCACCGCTTCTCCATACTGCTTAGAAACTCATTTTACCCTGATTGCCTCTCTCTGCTACTACGGTTTTCTCGCTTTCTTTTTGTAATTTGTTTTTAAATTCTCTTAATAAAGTCTAATTTTTATATATTTTTAAAATTTATTATTTTTTCCGTTGGCAACTTTGCGTTTGTTTAATCAAATCTGTTCCGTTTTCTTAATTCACGTCAGGTGAGTCTTGAGAATTGGTGCCTATTTTTGACAGTGCAAAACGTGTCGACTTTTTCCACATTTATAATTTATAAAGCAAAATGAAATGTTTACATTATCATGTGGATTATCTTGTTGTTTAGTAAGACTATAATAAAAGGAGAAAAAAGTGGCGAATATCGATCATTTGCTTACATGGATCGGATCATTCTAATAACACATAACAGTTAATCGAAGCTAAGAAAACGAAGGTCAACGATTCCAGCAAAATGACTTTACATGCTGATATTTTTTTTTCAATGACATCTTAATACGACACATCGCTTAAAGAAACAAAAGCAACAATAACAAAAAACGTTTTTGTCCTCAAGACATTAAATCTTACAAGTTGACATTTTGTAATTTATAGCTTTCTCCGATGTTGTTGTGAGATCCCAGTTTTCGTTAAACATTTCACGGTGAATGATTTTACGAAGAATTTTTTCTTCTTCTTTTCAGAAAAGGAGTTTTACGTTAAAAAAATAATAAAAATCTAGTTTTTATTCTAAAACATACCGTTTCTTCAATCGAAATTTGTGAGAAATTTATTTTATTTGCCATATTCCTTTTACTAAGTCTTAACTGTTCGAAAAGAGATTTTCAAAATCAAATTCATTCAGGACCTATTAAGTAAAGTAGTCTAAACTGGATTATTTTTAAAAAATTACATGAGATACACACACGAGATTCGCCTTATACGAGATATACTTTTTTAAAGAAAAATCAATATTCTTTAAAAAAAAAAAGAGAAAAAAAGCAAGTTTTGTCATTTACATCGGATACTATTTTTCCCCTTGCTGCAGGCCATATAATGTTAATTCATTTGCAATCGTAAATGCTTCAAAACATTTTAACTGTATATGCGTGTAGAAAAATTGGTATTCTTGTAATTTCGTGCCCAATTTACGAAACGAGTGAACACATGTCAAATACCAGTTAGAGAATGTGTCGTTAGTGTCTGAATTGTCTCTTTTTTTTCAGTCATATAAATATACATTTGCAATACATAGGAAGGAAAATCTACCTCCGTTAGACTGAAGAAAAAGTTGATATTTTCTATCATTGAATAGCATATAATAAATATTGGAAAGACAGCTCCCTCTTTAGCTGGATTTCGAATATTTAGGTGGGCTTAAAAGCAAGTGCTCCACCCCCTAACTTTTCTTTCTGTTTTAAATAATAATTAATCAATATTATATAAAAGAACATAAGCGAGTCAGGGGAGGGGTAGAGACGTACTAAATCTAATGTTTTTTTATTTTCTCGCCCAAATAATTTTAAGTAAATAAATAAATAAATGTCAAGAAAAATAGCATGGATTAAATATTTTTATTGAGATTAGAACTATTAATAGAATAAGACAGATACCAAGACGATTGGATTAATAATTTAGAAGTTATAAGGGGTTTCGTTCTAGTGCAATTTAGTTACTGAAAAAAAAACATTTCAATTTTTGAAGCATTTCCTCTTTTTATTCGTGTTTGGTCTCATTCAATTTAGTTAGTGAAAAAAAACATTTCAATTTTTGAAGCAATTCCTCTTTTTATTCGTGTTTGGTCTCCTTCAATTAAATTAGAAAATAATACCGCAATCAATTAAACAGAAAGTAATACCTCATTTGTCTGTATAACAATGTAATATGCGTAAATAAGTGCAAGTACAAAATTGTATAAATTGTACATACATAAAAACTCTTGCATCTTTAGAACTATTTTTTCTATTTACTTGTGTACCGTCTCATTCGATTCAGGGCAAATACAAAGAAACCAGTTTCACTTGTATAGTTAGCAATATCAGATGCGTAAATAGTTATATGTACAAATGTGTACATTTTGTACATAAATAGCTTACAACTTCGAAACTGTTAGTCAGACAGTCCAGCCATTGGACTCATTTAAATCAATGAGAAAAAATACCTCAGAAAATATACCGCACTTGCTATCTAAAAGAAATTCAATTATCTCCCTCAAATTACCTGCATTTTCCGAAAAAAAAAAAGCGTACAGTGGAGAGTAGGTAAATTTTCAGGTATCAATTTTTCCGTAGAAAAAGTCTAACTTTACTCGACTAATATTGTACTATAATTCAATCCGGGTAGTTTATTCATATATCTTTATACTCGAATATGTAGATTTTTACTTATTAATTTCTTTTAAACATACAAAAAATAATGTACACAGTAAAGGCGTTGTTTAGAGAACACCATACTCACCTACGCTCATGTAGAAACCTGAGAGGAGGGATCCGACCCAGGCCACTTTACCCTTGGGAACGTCATAATGCCTGACGAATTCCGTGAAGAAGATGCCGAAAGTATAGGCTATTCCGTCCACTATCATGTTGCTGAGGAAGGATGCTGCCACGATGACCCACCCGTAACCACCGTCTGGAGGTTCAGGGATGTTGGCAATCTCGTCCGGATCCCACTCCATGTCGTCGTCGTCCTGCTGCTCGGACAGGCTCTGCTGGACAGAGCTGGACGGGGACACGAAGTAGAACCGGTCCTCCATGTCCCGGGAGATCTTGTCTGAAACACAAAACACCAAAGTTAGTCAAATGAATTCTAAGGAACAGCAAATGTTATGCATATTTTTATACAGTGCTTGTATGTGCAGTTCTTTTTTACTAACCTAAAGAAAATCCTCAAAGGGCGTACCTTTCAAAAATAAATTTTCTTAGATTTTGCATATTACAAGTAAAAACGCTCTAAGTCAAAAGGGGTTCTGGAACTTGCATTTTTTGATAAGTTTGTCCAGTTTGTAAGGTAGACTAGAGCCCGATTTCCGAAAAATGCGTCATTATTTAATTTCATTGCATGCAAGGAATTTTTGAGAAAAATTTGAATTTCCAGTTCTCTCAATATCTTAAAAATCTTTTCAGCTTGAACAGGATGTTTTCTTTTCTTCGTCTTACTTTTCTTTTAGGACGTCAAGAATTACAGTATGTATAATTTTCAGCATATTTTCTCACAAAAGTATCAAATTTTAAAAAATAAATTTGATTCAAATGCCGACTTTTTTTAATGCAAACTATATTGCATAAATAAGCACACTATACAAAATGACATAAAAACATCTCCTTATAATAATATATGTTAGGTGTCACTGTTAGGTTTGGTATAGCACAAAAAATAATAATATTAATAAGGAAGACAATTTTTTTTAAATATTAATTTTTTAAGTTTAATTTTTCAACTCATAAAAGTAGATCTATATAGTTTCAATAGTAAGGTAAAAGTAGTACCATCGGTATGTATTTATGATTTTACCTAATATGAAATTCGATTACAACAAGAAATGGGGAGAGGGGTAGTACCCAGTAAGATTTATATGAAAAAATAAATTTACCTAATTTTTTGATACAAATTCCAAACTTCAATCAAAGAAAAAAAAAGTCTACTTAAACTGTACTTAACATATCGAATGCGTGGACGGAGATCTTTTAGATATAAAACGATGTTCATTTGGAGAAATCTAATGGTTTACCGAAGTACAAGAGTTCGGCAGTTTCACAGTATATAGATGTGCAATTAAATTTATGGAGAAAAAAAAAACAGAATTAGTAACCAATTGAAATGAAATACTTACAAAATAAATTAAAAACAGCTGTTGGGAAATACATTGCATAAAGTAGGCATGAAAGAAAACGTATAAGTTATTTTATTTATGGTTCATAAAAACAGAACTTATCTCCCATCGATAAAACTGTTCAGTTATCAAAGGATAAATGAACATTCATTTTACAATTAGCTTCCATTAAAGAAAAATAATTAATGTTATAAAGGTAATTTACGTTTCACTATTGGATAGATTTATGGAAATCTGGGAAATGCCTACAAATTTTTCTTGCTTTTTTTTCTTCTTTTTTTTTTCAAAATGCCCATCTATAAGTAAGCATTTTTTACTGTTATTTAATAAACTAAAAGTATTATGGATCATCGTCAAAGGTCAACAGTGACTTGCATTATTTATCAGAGAAGGGTGGGATCTATGGAATAGTAGAAGGTTCAACATGAAGAAGTGTAGAAATTTGGTATTCATCCAAGAGAAGATGGACGGCGGTGTTGATGTGAACGAATGCTTTTCAAGGTCGGCTAAAAAGCAATCTCAACGTGACACACGATTCGTAAAAAGAGGAACAGCTGGCAGGAAGACCCATACAACACACACAAGCGAAAGTAGGAACAAAAACACATTTGATGTTTTACAAGTGATAAACAATTAGTACAGTTACTATGAGCAGTTTTACTGAGTTTGAGTCAAAGAACATTTTGCAGGATACGGAAAAATTTACTCGACACCGGGGAGTTAAAAGTTAGGTCCTGTACATTAAAGGGGAAAGAAAAAAAATTGATTTTAAGAAAATTATTTAGATAAATATTTAGCTAAGCAAACAAAATTATTTACTGGACTTGAAAAAATTATTTACTCGCATCTAATTAAAATGTCCACCTGGACTTAGGTGGACATTTTAATTAAATGCGAGTCGGAGTTGAATGATTCCATAGCTCTGGGTATGAGCTAATGGACTAAATGACTCTTTTTGAAATTAGGTCAACGGTAATTTCGTTTTTAAAATCCTTGTGCTAACTATTATTGAATTTTTAATGAAATTTATCTTTTTATAACCAGGAATTTTAAAAGCTGTCATTAATTCTTTATCTGGAACCTTGATATTGATTCTTGGGCTAACCAGCAAAACTCCTAAATAAAAACTCCTAAATTCCTAACTAGCAAAAAATTTAGAGTCAGATTTTTTTAAAAAAAAAATCTATTTTGATGTATTTTCTCTTAAACTTTGAAAAATAGATTTTTTAATGTTTAGAATGCTCATCTGAAATACTCGTTTGATATTCGAAACTTTGGAAAAGAAATGTTTTATAAGCATTAACCAAAAAAAAAAAAAAAAAAAAAAAAAAAAAAAAAAAAAAAAAANAAAAAAAAAATTTTGCGTGCAGAGGAAAAATTTTTTTTCAACTTTTTTTTCCATTGTGTTGAGAGGGTGATGATTTGTCCAGCAGTTTTAATTCTTTTCAGGCGTAAATTAAAATTGTATTAATTTTCTTATGATAAAATATGAAAGTTTTTGAAAATTTTCACAAATTATAAAAATGTAAGTTTTTTCTATTTTTAATAAACCTAGCATTTTTAACATTAAAAAAAAAAACAGTTTCGATGAACTTTTTTTTAAAATAAAACTTGCTTAGTGAAATGGCTGAATATAAGGAGGGAAGCACGCTGAAATAAAAATTATAAAACAACTGCAGTGATTATTAGAATTTAAAATAAAATTATGGAATGAAACAAGGGGAAAAAAGTCCTTCTGGTTTGTTATACTCATAAAAATTTTATTGATAACTATTTTACTTTTTAAAAGAGTAAGAAAATTTATTGTAGATTTATTTGATCAAAAATTTTTCATTTTGGTTATTTATAGCTACTTTTAGCAATACTTTTTTCTTCTGTTTGTTAGCGGGTTTGTGAACAATCATCAACATTGCTCACTGGGTCCCGGAATGGATCACTAAGAATTGCTTTAATTATTTTCTAGTGGTCTCATTAGTGTCCTGAGAGCAGGGATTCCAAGCACCACTGTCTTCTCAACATCAACAAAATCGGCGTAAGTCGAAGTTTGATTTTATTCAAAACAATCTGATGTTAGTTTTGCCGGAAGGTTATCCATTCAATGAATGCCATGAAATCGGACAAACATCGCACAACGAGAAAAACATTCTAAAAGCCGATTGGACTTTTTATTCCCCCCAAAGCTATAATTAAAGAATAAAGGGGCGTGAAAGGGTGATCGAACATCTGAGGAAGTTCTCAGAAACCAAGGTCAAGTATAACAACAACAAATCTGGCAACTTGCCTTCATCCCCCTCTCTCTTCCCCACCATCTTTCATCTTCCTCGGGAAAGAGAGTTACAGCATCCAAAAGAAATACTTTTACGTCACATTACCTAATCTAGGCTTCAAACATCGCCATGCATCTTAATTGTATAGAAAAAAATAAAATAAATAAACGGACCACCCTGAATAACTTCTAAACTAATGATAGAATCTTTACGTTCTAGGACTCAATCTTAATGGTTAAAGAGGGTGCCCTCAAATATGTAAATTAATTAGTGCAGACGATATTTTAACTTACGAAATCACACTTAAAAAACGTATTCTCTGAACAAGCATACCCTTTTTTTCGATGGATTCAAATTTCTGACCCCCAAAATATAGGGGGTTTCCGCAATCTGGGAAATGGGGTTCCAATAGCTAGGTCAGGAGAGCGGTCAAAAGTTTGTAACCCTTTATGTTATTTTAACTTTTTGCATATTTCGCTATGTCTTGAGAGCTTTTTTAAGCGAATTTAAAATTTATTTCAAACAATTTTAAAATTCGTCCAAAGATAATTCCACGAAGGAAAAAAAATTGCAAATATTTAATATTTTTTATTATTTTACTTAATAATAGCAAAAAAAAAATTCATGAGAAATCACATTTTAAATGTACTATCTTTTAAGAATTTAACCATTTTATTATTCGATTGGACCCGCTTTCTTGGATTAAAATATTCCTTTGAAGCGGTATTCATTCAATTGTTCTCATTTGTACAGCCTTAAAATTAAGAATCTATAAATAAAAAAATTAAAAATCTGCAAATAAAAAAATTAAGAATATGTAAATAAAAATAATTTAAAATAAGCCTTAAAATTATGGTTCTATGAATGAAAATAATCAAATAAATGCCACGTCGAACGAGAATTTTAATCCAAGAAACAGGGGGTCCAACCGAAAATTAAAATGGTTAGACTTATACGAAAAATTAGTGCAACGGAAAGACCTCTACAATTTTTACTGTAAATTATTTACCTATATTTTACAAAACAGATGCTTAACCCCAGATAACTAAACATAAATTCGCGTTAGATCATTGACTAATATAGTCTTTACTCGTATAAACAAGATTAGCATAGAATGGGTGGAAGCCATACTGTGGGAGAAACTTTTCGTCACGAATTCTCTTCCACCTCCATTACTAATTTAAAATTTAAAAGAAAGAAAAAATGAGCTGAAAAAAAACCTAAAGTATGCCATAAAATTTCAATAGTAGAAAAAAAAAGTTCAAAATACGCAAACAATTTATTAGAAAATAACTTCCCCCATTGTGTAATCCTAAGTTATCGTCTGATAATTTATTTTCCTTTTGATATTTAAAGAATTTCTTTTCAATATTTGAAACTTCATAGTTTACTCTAGGTTTTCCTGTGATTCCTTTTTAATATAATTTAATTCAGTTATGGAAGAGAATTTGCCATAAAATGTTTCTCCCGTGCTATAGCGTCCTCTAAGAGGAGACTTAAAATTTTTGGTAAACTTAACGTTAACAATCTTTGAAAATGCGTTAAGGTAACAACATGGTTACTGACACAGCTAAGAATTTTGATTAGATTTTTATTTTTCACAAACTGACTTCGAATTATGTCATCATAACAAATGGCAATTAATTGCAAACTTGACATTAAATAGAAAAAAT